CTTTCACTGCAAACCATCAAATTAAATAACAGTTTGTGCTGGCTTTCTGCTTTAGCTCATGCATTTAAAACCTGGAACTCGGATCAAAAGATAGGATAAATTCAGTATATTATTTATGAGTGGAGCAACACATTAGCATGGAGTTCACAATAGATCATATCGCTTTTATTCCGTCTTACAAGCTTAGCAGCACAAACAGAATAATCAACATATTATTTGGCTGTCATCTGCTGAACAGAAAGCAGAGATCACAAGGAGGTTTTCCCTAGCTGCAGTGATGGCCTTTTTGTTCCAAGCCCCCATCTGGGAGGGCCGTGGTGTGTTATCATATGGAACGCGGGGTTTGCTGTAATCTGCTTAGCTGCACTGCAGTTTGAATCTTTATTCCATGTTTGTGTAATTTATAATTTTAATGAGACCACGGCTCTTGTGGGCTTTGAAATATATTAAAAGCTCTTTTGTGCATATGCTTTTGTTCTTGCTTAATAGGCTCAGTGTATTTAAAACTGATGAATTTTTATTCATGGATTTGGATGTCTGGGGATTAACTTAGTCTGAATATCATTGCACTTGTCTATTGATGTTTGGGACTTCTTTTTAGACTTGTATCTGTAAGTGGAGGAGACCTTACAGAACTTGTGTTTTAGACATAAAAGCTGAGAAATAACTAATAAAATTTTATTGGGCAGGGAAAGTACTGATTGCAGTTTATTTTTGCTGCATAAACACACATGAAATACAATTTTGCTCTGGAACGAAGTCCTTGAGTCCACGTAGGTGTGTAACTGAAAGGCAATTTGGGAAAGACCTCAAAATTGTGGAATAATGGCAGTGAAAAGCACAGGATGTGCATTTTTCTTCTTGAAAATGTAAGCAGTGAGGACACTTTTGTCTGGCTCTGTTGCCTTTCTCCTGTTTTGGACATTTTTTTGATGCAGAATGTGCAGTAGATATTAGATATTCTGTTAGAAGGTGATGCTTGTAACTGAGAAGTGTGGATGAACACACAGATTCTTCATTAACTGTTACATTTTCTGACAGTGCTAAAACTGATCCTGTTTTTTTGCTTGTGTATTTTTCAAATGTTTCATGGTTTGTTTATGGCTTAGTTATCTGCCAGGTTTGATTCACTGTTTGTATAAAGATCTTGTCCCGTGGGACTCGTGTGCTCATAGAGCACTGGTGATGTTCTGCACTGGGGAGAGGTGAAGACAATTGTGTTTCTTTACAGTTTTTTTCAGGTGTGCTGACCAGGCTGCTTGGTCAGACTTTGGGGCTTTGGTTTGTGGTGGGTTTGTTGCATTTGTTTGTTTTTTTAACCAGCAAACAATCCTCTTTGTAATGACAACATTTTTTTAGTAAACATAAACAGCCTTTTTACTTGTCAGTGCATAGGGGAATTATTTCCCTCTCTTCTATTCACTGCTCTGAGTAGTATTTCCAAAATTCCCTCTCTGTTTCTCCCAGGTGAGTCAGCACTGGGAGGTGCAGGGGATTTGAGCCAAGGGCACCTGCACAGACTGAGGGCTGTACATTTTGAGTGCCTGATGTGAAAATTGGACTTACAAGTCTTTGGTTAAACTGAAATGAATTTTAGATGTGTCCATGTCTGTGTCTGCAGGAGGTGAATCTGCTGAAATTGGAGATAAGCAGATGCAGCTCAGGATACAGTTCTTTGGCCCTTGTGACAGGCACAGTGTAGTTTTCTCAGTTCCAGGAAGGTGACTGTGGTGTCTGTCAGACCTTTGGTGTTTTCCTAACTTTGTTACAAAAAACTCTGACTATTTCAGCATCCCTGAGAGGCTCAGACCTGCCTTTCCTCAGCTGTTTGGATTTTGTTGTGCAGCACAGATGAGTGTATGGAGCTGCAGAGGAACTGAGAAGTCCTGGAATGCATCTGGCTGTTGTATGGTGTTTTATACAGGGTTGTGGGATTGTTAGGAGCTGCTTCCCTCCTTTTTACTTACTGGTAAATAGAACCAGTGAGAACTACTTAAGATCTGTTTTGAAAAACTGCTTATTCCTATATGGGTGAGCAGCAGAGGTTTGTGTTAGGTGAATTTATGCTTACAGGATTGGACTCCTTGTCAGCTTGAGATCAGGAGATGAAGGAGCATTTCTTGGAGACAAACTGCCAAGTGGAGATAATGGGTAAAAATCATCCTCAAGCTTCTCCAGATTTGCCACACTGAATCCAGTGTTTCTTCTAGAGAAAAGCAACAGCTGGAAATACAAATCAAGTTCTCTCTGATCCCCAGTATGGAAAGACCTTTGGAAAATTGTTCCTTGTTTTGCTTTAGATGTTTGGAATCGTCAGACTGTAATCAGAATATTTAAAGCATTTTGTACTTAGTAAATGGTGTATCTGATATGGGAAGAATCCCAATAAACATGACACACACCCTTCACTGTTCTAGCAGATGTAATGTTAACTCCATACAGAAGCTTTAAAATAACAGTTTAATATAAATAAGAGCTCAAAGATAAATATTTAAGTGGCCTAGTGGGGAAGAGGTGGTGCAGGTGATGGGTTTGCTTTTGTGTAAAGAAAGGTGCCTGGTTAGACCTGGAGGATGTTGGGAGAAGAGTTTCTGCTGTCTAAAGAAAACCTGATCAACTACCACTAAATATTCAGTGAAATTCCAGAGTTGGGAAGCATTATATAAAGCGAATGTGACTGGAATATTTTGATGAAAGTGAAGGATCTGTTCAGTATCGAGTCCAATAACGTGTTTCAGTGCCTGTGACTTCCATTTTCCTGTGTTTAAAAATTTGGCCCCCTATGTTAAACTGCCTTACACAATGCCATTGCTTTCCTGGAAATGAGAAATCTGCCCATTGATTTCCTAATTTTATTATGTACACAGTTCATTGTAATCCAAGATTACAGCAAACAAGATGTTCATTTCTAGGCAACCTCCGTCCCTTTCCCTCCGAGTGTGAGTGATACAGAGGCAGAGAGTACAAAGAGAATACCATTTGTGCTATCCTCACAGGAGCTGTCAATAAAAGATGTAATAGGGGATTTAGGAATCTGGAAATGGCCAACTAATTTATGTGAATCTATTTGATTTCAGCTAGAAAGACCAAGCTCTGTTTGGTCTGTGCTGCATATTGCAGAGCACAGTCTGTCTATAGAAAACCAGGAGGCTGCATATGGATAGTCCCTTGATATCATTCACTTGCTGTGTAATCTTATTATGCAAAGTTCTAATCTTCACCTAGAATGAATGCCTCCGGGTCAGAATATAGTCATATCAGGGTTTTTGAGGTCATGTTTTGTGATCCTTAGCTTATTCTTCTAAGTAGAGCTGGGATTTAAAGAGTATTCCCCAGACACTAGCAGAGATAGGCAGCAAAACCTGCTGCCTTTTTGGAAGACAAGACCAACATGAGGTCCCTGGTAGGATTAGACTTGATTTGTAGCTGTAGGATTTTTTAACAGATGTATTATTGGACAGGGAATAGGCAGCCACCAGCACGGCGAAATTGGATCACGATTGGCATTCTCAGGGAGTCCTCTGGCTGCTAAAACAGCAGCTGCATGTGGATTTGACTTCTTTCAGGTGAAGCGACTTCCAGTCATTTGGAAAGGATGGGATGAAAAGGAACCTTGGTGATAATTTTGATGTCTGCAAGATTTAGTCCCAATGTAATGGGATTATCGGTAACACCTTCGCTGCAGAAAAAGCCACCTGGTGCTCTAACTGGCAGGGCTGAGGACTAATCCCTTCCCAGCTCTGGATGTCATTCACCAGGCTCAGAGTGATTTCTGCCCTGCTAGCTGTGATTAATTTTATAAACAAACAAACAAGAAATGAAATGAGGAGAGCGTGGGCTACGTAAGGAAAAGGGGACAGAAGATAATAGTAGTGACGTTTTGCATTTTGTTTGCTGGGGGGGGATAAAATAGAGAGTTCTTGTAAAAGAAGCCAGTTGGATTCTCTGTGATAAATATGGATGTGTAACCTTTTTTAGGCAGTGTCTGTTTCAGGATCAATTTTTCAGCTTCCTACTCTATGATAGCAGGGAGTACCTGGAAGTAATTACAGCAGGTTTTAGGCTGTTGGTTCTGCAATAAGGATGTTTATACAACAGATCCATTAAGTTTTTGACTTAAATAATTGTTTTACTCATGTGCTGACACAGTTTTCAGAGGAAATAATTATGTTTTAATGTTGCTTA